GATATCTAATAATGCAGATACACCGATGGACATGATAAAGCATTAATTGAAAGTTATCACAAGTGCCTAATCTTCAGTCATAGTTAGAGAAAAAAATAAAAGTGATTCAAAATAAAATATAAATAATTAAATGCAAGTAAATAGTTTTTTTTTTTTGTTTTTTTACGAGTCCTTTTAAGAAAATATATTAATGCCATTGATCATTTTTTAAATAAGAAACAACATTTTTAGGGGGAAAAAGTTAGATGGCACACCATAAAATTATACATAAATGCTAATCAATTAATTAAGACTTGAGAAGAAATGGGGAATAGATTTTACTAGCATGAAAATCTATTAGTGCATATGATTAATTAATTAAATTTGGTTAATAGGTAATTAGTTAGATTATTATAATTAATTTACTTCTCTATTAGTATATAAGTCACTTTTTAACCTAAAAATATAAGTCACTACGTAGCTGCGTGTACTATAATCATGGTTGTTAAAATCTCGATTTATCACTACGATTTTACGTTTTTACGATTTTTTTATCAAAACGATTTTACCAATATTTCAAATGCTTTTACGTTTTTATGATTTTTTACAATTTTTTTACATTACGATTTTACGTTTTATGATTTTTTAGTTCCCATCCGATTTAAATCAATGCTTGAACCCGTTCATAATCTAGTTGCTTCCATAACAAGCTGCAGGCAATAGTTTAACCAATTAATTCCCCCCTAAATCTTACCAATCTTTCAAAACAAATATGAGAATATATTCCAGTATATCCATACATCATCATTCTATTTTATAGTGATGAATAAAAAAGTCAACACTACCTGTACAGAAGGCAAGCAAAATCATAGTGAAGGCCTCGTCTCTAGATATTAACATATTTGAGAATATCAGACCTGCAATCAATCCTCTCTTTTTATAAAAATGAAAAAGGAAACAAAGGATGAAGAGAGCATGGAATGTGTACATGACGGGGAGGAAAAATAAGTTTTCTCTGTGATCAATTTGCGTTTCTACGTTATTTTAATCATCTCTGTACGTTGTTACGTTGCTAACTAATATAAGAGTAAATATCATTTTTGGTCTCGAACAAAAAATTTGGTCCCTACTTTAGTCCATTATAAAAAAAAAATTTAGTCACCTGGTTCTTATGAAATTTAAAGTGGACCCATTTTGATCTTATTGAGGGACTAATGTAGGTCTTTTTTGAATTTGTGAGGAATCACGATTTTAACTAAATTGATCCACTTTAAATTTTTTAGGGACCTCGAGACTAAATTTTTTTTGTAAGGAACTAAAATGGGAACCATATTTTTTGTTAGGAACATAAAAAGATATTTACTTCTAATATATATATTGAATCAAGAGACAAATAAAGACCTATAACCAAGAAAAAAAATAAAGCTAAAATAAAAATTTTTATGACCGCACTTTGCCCGCAAGTGGGTCCACCACTGCTATAAGGATCAAAGTTGTGATCACTTAATCGTAGAGGCTCTGATACATAACTTAAGCAGAAAAAATAGTAAAGAGAATAACTTATCCTTGTAAATAATCATCTCATTTCAAAAGTTTAAATTTTTAAATTGATTTGATTTGTTACAAATTGCATTTACAAGAGGAATGTGTCACTTTGGTGCAAGTCAAATTTTTATTCATAGGATGGTGCAAAATTAATAGTACATAGTGCATGGAGGTAAGTCATGCACATGCCATATAACTCATTGAGAGGATTTTTTTTTTTTTATAATATTTTAAATGAAGTTGTGGTCAAGATCGACGACTTAGGGTAACTTTTTCTTTTTTATATTATTAAGATGAATTTGTATTCCTAGGCAACAACTTGGGGAATTTAAAAATAAATAAAATAAATTATGTGACTTTTGTACAACAACTGCGACCTACTCTTAAGTTTTTTTTTTTTTTTTATTTTTCAATGTAAGTCAGCTCTCATGGCACAACTTATATTATTTTTTTTTTTTATTTTAAGTAAAATTATTGTAAGTTATACTCGCCTATAAAATGTATCTGTAACGTCCAACTCCTTTGTGCGCTTTTTTTTTTTTTTCTTTTCTTTTCGTTTTGAAAACCCGTATTGAAAGGATGCTGTGTAATAATGTAAAACTCAAATTTAGTTAGCAGCTTCTTGTTTCTACAATCCAAAATAGGGGACTAATGTCCATTTTGTTCCCACAATCCAATATAGTGGTTTGGTCTGTATCTTCAATTGTCTTAATTTTCAATGATAATGTTCAAGTTTGTATACTAGTTTTTTTTTAAAGAAAAAAATTCTTTTAAGAAAACATCTTTACTCTTTAGTGCTCTTAATAAAGTAAGAAATTTCTTAATTAACTCTTGCTGTTAGGTACTTAAGCGTAAATAAATTTTATTTAGATTCAATTTTATTTTTTTAAGAAACAGAAGCTTCGAATAAATAGATCATTTGGATCACCTTTGCACAGGAAATTCATTTTTACGATTTAAATTCCAAACACTTAACTTTTTTTAACTGAGCAAAGGTGATCAGTATAAATAAAGGATTATGTGAATAATAGAAAAGTTAAGAGCTAAGGTTTATTTTTCTTTAACAGCTACTCCTCAAATCAAAGGTGTAAGCTTGGAAGCAAACAGTATAAATAAAGGATTATGTTATGAACTAAAATGGAGCATCAGGTTAGTGAATAATAATGTTGTCTTAAACAGTAAGACTAATAAGAGAGAGGGTTATCACAAGTAGTATAAAAAATATAAAAAAATAATAAAATAATAATATATTAGGCAAGCCTGAGAGGCTCTAAGACCGAGCTTTTGAATTGGAGCCTGAGACCTTTTTATTAAACGAGCTTTTATAGAAGTCCAAGCCTTGATCCAATTAACAATCAATGTAAACATGTAAGTTCAGACCTTCACGAGCCGAGCCAAAGGCCCCCGGCTCGTTTAGCACCCCTAGGACTAATGTCCATTTTGTTTCCACAATCCAATATAGTGGTTTGGTCTGTATCTTCAATTGTCTTAATTTTCAATGATAATGGTCAAGTTTGTATACTAGTTTTTTTTTTTTTTTTTTAAGAAAAAAAATTCTTTTGAGAAAACATCTTTACTCTTTAGTGCTCTTAATAAAGTAAGAAATTTCTTAATTAACTCTTGCTGTTAGGTACTTAAGCGTAAATAAATTTTATTTAGATTCAATTTTTTTTTTTAAGAAACAGAAGCTTCGAATAAATAGATCATTTGGATCACCTTTGCACAGGAAATTCATTTTTACGATTTAAATTCCAAACACTTAACTTTTTTTTTTTTTTTTTTTTTTTTGATAACAACACTTAACTTTTTTTAACTGAGCTAATGTAGTAGAAAAGAAACTAAGGTTTATTTTTCTTTAACAGCTACTCCTCAAATCAAAGGTGTAAGCTTGGAAGCAAACAGTATAAATAAAGGATTATATTATGAACTAAAATGGAGCATCAGGTTAGTGAATAATAATGTTGTCTTAAACAGTAAGAGTAATAAGGATTTCCCAATAGGATTAAGGCTCTGCTTTAATCATCAAAAACCATCAGGTTGCAAAAATTATTTTAAAACGTAATTTCTTGAATGAAGTTTATTGATACTAATTTTTCCTTTAAAAAAATTCAATCGAAAGATTTTAAAAGGGAAAGAATTGAAAACAATGATAATAGAAATGCTGTTTATTTATATATAACTTCAAAAAGTTGAAAAGATGACACATTTCCTGAAGAAAACCACGAGAAAATCCAGAGAGTAATCCTATAGTGTACTATACGCAATTAAAAAAAAGAAAAAAAAAACTATTAGACCAAATAATTTTTAAGATCATATAACTCATTAGCCCCTTTTCAATTTCGAGACATAATCTTATGCCTATTTTTTCTATATACCAACTCTTATTACTTTTATACAGTGCGTCGACCCTTCAGACATCTCCACAAGCTTAAATTCATTAAGCCGGCTATGAAACTAATTTCAAATCGGAACTTAGTCACAATTAAAGCTCATCATCCCTCTCCAAAGATATATTTGGTGGGAATCGAACACAAGTTCTATTCCCACCTAGTCCTCGACCTGTGTTGCCATACATCCAGTATTATGTCTATCTTTTTCATATCTATTTTATTTATTTCTGTTCACACCGTTAAATCACAATCTCAATCAATTTTAATCCTTTCTCTCTTCCCCGTTATTAGGTATGATTGTAATATAATGGTATGGGGAAAAGTAGGTAAACTATGTATGAAAAAAGTAGCCATAATATCTCGTTCTATTAATTAAATAACATTTTAGTTCAAGTTGTAACGATGGATGTTTTGTTATTATCAACTAGATTCTATACGAGGAACCAAATTGAAGGACAGTCGAGACTCATATGCTCTTTAGTTTCTAGTAGGACTCACATGATATGTACGTCTATTACATAGCAGACATGAAGGAAAATATAAAAGAATGCAGCCAGATTTTTTATGCCTTGGTTGCTAAAAGTCATAGCCAAAACGTCAAAGCACTTTTCCAACTTTCCACGGTGATCATTTGCTTGGGGTTTCAGATGTACTTTGTGAAAGACACAATGGTGGAGTCATGGAGGCGTTATGGAGAGTGTTCGCCCCTCAAAACTCAATATTTTTTCATTCTTACTATTTTTCATGTATGAATTAGTTAGTGTAAAATTTATTTTTCTTTCTTTGCCCCACTCATAAAATTTTCTATCTCGGCCAATTCCATACACGAATATCAAGGAGAAATTACTAATCCCGAACTTTCACGTTTCAATTAGATGATAAATATTATCACTTGAGCTCGTCATTGGATAAGGCTATATAAGCAGAAAAGAAATTCGGAAAAAAAAGAGAGTTGTATTTAATAATTAAGCAAATGTAACAAGTTACAAAGTTCGAGCAAATCAAGAAACCACAAAAATTTAAGCAAGGATACTTTTTTTTTTCCCCTAGCGGTAAAATTTACACCACCCCACATGTACAGAGCCATTATTGTGTTTGCATACCAAAGTTCCTGCACTCCTCGAAAGTAACATGTTGAGGCAATCTTTGTTGGCAACCTTCACTTTCAGAAACCAGAGGTGAGTAAATCAAAGAGCTAATATCTCCCCAACTAGAGCTTTTTGTTGAAGTCGTGTTCGTGCTACCATTACCCATGTCAAAGGACTCCTCCAATCCATGAAAGACCTGCATTGATCCATCTACTTGTTGCGGACTCACACAGGCCAACTCACTCAAATCACTGGGAAAAAAGTTCCCAAACCCTTGAAATATGCTTGATGGGTGACATATACTACTATCGTTTGCAGCACTCACCACCCCTGCTGAGGTTGTCATGGTCATTGTGGATGGAAATAGCTGGTCTTGTGGGAACGAAATGTCACATGAGTATTGTGAATTCATGGTGGCAGTGGCTACGTTAGTGTATGGCATATTTTTGAAGGATGATGATGATGATGATGTTTGATTGTTGAGATCATAGTCATGGATGGAAACATTTGCCAATGGAATGCTAAAGGAATGCTCTGCAGACCAATAAGGAATTTGGCTCATAACTTGGAAAGGTAACACCAAATTTTCGTTTTCTCTCTTGATCTCATGTTTTAGGCTACAAACTCGGTGAGCTTGAGCCTGTTGCTCTTTCCTTTGCTTGGTTAGGAGCTTCTTCTTCAGCTTAGTGTTCCAGTAGTTCTTTATATCATTATCTGTGCGCCCTGGTAATTGCGCTGCTATAATAGACCACCTGCATATAATTAATTATCATCGGTTGGAGTTAATAATTATAACCATAAGTGTTATGCTATTTGCTGATAAATAACAAATTTAATTACCTGCTACCGATACGAACATAGAGGCTGCAAATTATGTTGTCTTCTTCTTCTGTGAAACGACCGTGTTTAATGTTTGGGCGAAGATAGTTGAGCCATCTAAGACGACAGCTTTTCCCACATCTTTTGAGGCCTATATATACCACAGTCCACAAATAAGAAATCAATACTCCAATATAAAGAATTTTTGGTTCTGAAACGAGATGAGGAAATTAAATCAAGAACTAAAATATACAGCATTAAGAAGTTAAATATGTTTGATTTGGATTGATCTATGATGGTTGATGAATATATATAGATGAACCATATAAATAGAATACCTATTTTCTGGGGCAGGGCTATCCAGTTGCCACCAGTGCCGTACTGGTCGATATAAGCTTTGAGTGTGGCGTCTTCTTCAGGAGACCATGGACCTTTCTTGACGTTTGCTTTATCACAGCAAGGAGCCCTTCCCATGTTTCCTATGCCTGTCTGTCTTTTACTTGCTATGAGTTTCAAGTAAAGCCAATGTTTATTATGACTCGAGAATGATGATGATAATGATAATAACCAATTAACCATTATATACGGGGAGCGAGAGAGAGAGAGTGTGTGATTGCCTAGAGAAGGAAAGACAAGAAACTTCGGGCAGGGTTTGAAAAAGGAATTCAATTTTCTTTTCCTCATTTTATTTTCTCTAAAACATAGTTAATTTAAAATCAGGTAATAGTATTTTTTTTATAAAGCTGATTATATTTTATTCAAAGGTATCAAAAGAAGGAGAACCGAAGACTTGAGTCCTTAAAATGTGAATACAAAATACTGAAGCATTATATATATATATATGGGATTTGCATTTCTCATTTAACATGACACAACAAACTTTCCTACACACACAATATTTTGTGGAGCCCATATTTTTTGAAGAAAAAAGAAAAAAAGAAAATTACGGCACGCAAAACGAATCTTTATAACATTACACAATCATTTTTCCTACAACATAACTCTTATAAAATCATATATATATATATATATATATATATATATATATATATATATATATATGCTCAAAATAATGGAAGAATTGGAAATGACACTGCGCTGGTGTTTTTCTATTTGTCTTTCTTTGTCTATAATATATTTTATTCATACTCTCCATCCATCTATCCTTCTTAGGTCTCACTAGTATTATTATTTTATCAAAAGACTGGTCATATGAATTATTGTTGTAAATGGATCTGGATGATGATGATGAGCGTACGTAAACATCATGTATGGTGGAATTGGTGGAACGTTAAAGTGATCAAATCTCATTTGACTTGTTCTTTATTACATAATGCCTGGACAAGGAGGGACTCTTCGATTACGTAGGAAGAGTAAAATGGATATAAATATAACGAGCCATTGAAAATATTAGGACTTTAAGTATCTTGTAAATTAAAACTTCCAAAAATGTTATAATAAAAAAAAGTAGTAAATTGCTGTGATTATTAAATTATCTGGCTGCTTACCCGGAGGACTTGTTCCTATTCTATAATTATGGTTATTAAATTAGAGTCTCCCCTGTTAATTAGGCTTCATATGAAATTTTTATATGATTGTGAGAAAACTTTATATCTATATTTCTTTATTGACATTAAATATATGGGATCCAATTAAAAATATAGAGAGAGATAGAATAAGTGAAATTTTATCGGATCATTCCCGACTTCGTATCAGTTTGGACAGCAAGCTCTCTACTACCTGGAGGTTTTGTTATTCTATAATTAGGGTAATTAAAGTAGGGTCTCCTGGTTATTGGATTTAAAATTCATGAGTGCTACGCGTTAGACATATGCCACCTGTAGGAAGAAGAAACGAAGGAGAGAACAAAATAAAGAAAGAGAGAGTTATTATTATTTATTATGGAAGAAAAAAGTGTCGTTTAATTGAGTATCTTAACTTCTATCTAGCAATCAATTCAAGTTTGATTAAGGATTTTAATTAATTTTCGGTTACGGAAAAAGCTTATGTGACAAATTAAAATTATATGTCAATAATATAAATTTATTTGTTAATTACTAATCACCAAATTAATATTGAAATTAATAAAATCATTAATTTGTTGCATAAGTGTAACCAAAAAGTAAGTAAAGACAAAATGATATAATGATTTTTCAATTTGTTAAATTTTCTCATAAAATATTTATTAAAATGAAATTATGTTTATCTTCTCTGTTTACCTTTAATAAAAAAAAGAAAAATACTGTATAAAATAATTATTAAAAATATAAAATAAATGAGAGTGTCAAAATTATTGTTTTTATTCGTGAATTCAGTAATTGAATGATACGTTGACGTTTATAATGTCAAAGTTTAAAATTAAAAAAAAATTATAAAAAAGAACAGTCTACTTCGAAAAAGAATTATTTTCATTAAAAGAATATTAATAAGGGATTTGTATTTCTGCAGCTGTTGTACGTGCAACAATTAAATACTTGCCTTATATACACGTGAAAGCATTAAATGCAGAAAATCATAACCATACAAAAGATGAAAATATTAAATGAGAGAAATCATAACCATACACCTGTCATTGTCGTACATAAAGCGACTGCAAAAATAATTTGACCTATTAATAAAGACCGTCATAACAGAAACGTTATTGAGGCCGAAAGATTCATCATGTTTATGGACGTCTTAAAAATAATTATTATTTTCATAAACATGCTACTAATTAGGATTTTTCCCCTGTACATTTATGCAGTCTTGAAAAAAAAGGATAGAATAACACATTTTTCAAAAAAATTACCCAACTAATTAAATCCTACATGCTAACTATTCAAATTAGTCTGCACATTAGTCATGCGGGATTTCCCGTTGTTATACACTAAAATGTCCCGCATGTCAATAGACGTGCATGACTAAACCTATATTGTTAGCATGTGTTACTAATTAGATTAAGCCATGTGGCATGATACTGATCGTGTGAAGCACCTACCACCAAGAGTTTCGCATGCCAACCATGCAAAGACTTTTAGGGTAATGTCATGTGGCTTAATCCTGGTCATCAATTATACTAACCCCCTTTCACACTCCGTATATAATCCCTTTCACCTTGGAAAATTTATAACACATTCTGAGTAAGTAAATTCACCCTCTCTATTTTTTCGTTGGTATCCTCTACTACTATCTCAAAAATGAGTTCAAATATGTAAACAATTTGTATTGTTGTCTACGACAATGGTTGTAAATTTGTAGGTCTCAGTGGTATAACATTTAAGGGTGAGAAAAGAGCAACATGTATTTCTCATGACACTTGTTTCGATGAATTGATGGAGAAGATTTAATGTTGATTAACGCTCCAAAGAAACCAATTGGTTTCTCAGATTATGGCTATAGTTCTTATTAACACTCTCAAATAAATAGGTGTGACAATATCTGATATGCCTCCAGCATATATAGCTTTCTAAGTTAAGAAGAGCAAGGATTTAATCCACTTTGAAAGAAAAAAGCTTATATTTGTTATAAAGTTGATAAACCACGCTTAATTCTTCTCTCATTGAATTTCTGTTGTTTTTGTAGGAAAAATACTAGAAAAGAACGTGTTCTTAAGTGCAAGAGAAAGCAAAAGACAGAGCTGTTGCACTACAAGTGCGAGATTCGCGCTAGTAGCACGTGAAATTTCTCAAAAGGGCAAAGCTGTCATGCTACAAGTGCGAGATCCGCGCTACTTACAACACAGAAGTGCCACGCTACAAGCACGAGATTCGCGCTAGTAGCGCGGGATTCATATGCCTTTTTTATAATTGTCGCGCTAGTAGCGCGAAATCAGTGCTAATAGCTCAAGAAGCACTTTATCATTTTAAATGGAGATCAAATTACAGTTTAAGGAGGATTCTACATCAAAGATTTGATCAAGATTTGGGCATATTTGACATTAAGCTATAAAAAGGGGATGTACACCCTTATTGGTCATCTTTGGCTGGAGACTTTTGGAGAGATCAAGAAATTGAGAGAATTCTTGGATGCTTACACTGCAGATCGGGATTTCAGAGAAATTGAAGATTAAAGACCTTTGATTCTTCTTCTTCTCCATCTTTTCTTTCATCTTAATGAATTCTTTTTACTTCTTTATTTTATTTAAGTCAGTTATGTTTGGCTAGTTTTCTTTTGTAGTTAGGGTCATGGATCTTATGTGAAGCATTTTGATAATTAAATTGTTTTTATAATTCTTTTATTTCAATTAGTTTTATTTTACTTTGAATGAAAAATCTATATCTTTATTAGAACTGATCACTCTTATAGAATTTTGAGGGTTAGAGTTCATAATAGACATATTGGGGGGTTTTAATTCTGACTGGGATAAAAAAACAATTTGTGCATGATCTAGACATAGGCTTGTATGAATTGAAGACTTCTTAATTCATTGAACTTAATGCTTAATTTAAGAAGGATTACTAAGATATTAGAATTATAATTGGGTAGAGGGTTAAATACATTAAGACATTAGAATTTAACCAATTAATTTAAAGAAGATGAATTGTCTGAATAATTGAAGTAATTGATTATAAGAATTAATTTAGATTAATAAGGGGGGATCAATGGTGAAGTGTGCCCTAGCTACAGTTCTTTATCATGGTTTCTTCAATCATATTTTTTATTTGTGTTCTTGCATGTTCTTGATTTTTATTTTAATTCAAAAATTATTCTCAACAACCAAATCGAATTTTCCAAATTAAAGAGAATAGTTATAATAGTACTTGGTGCTTTAATCCTCGTGGGACGATACTCTTTCTCACTACTTTATTACTTGAAATGATCGGTATACTTGTTATAATCGCAACAATATCTGATGAAGAAGAATTATATGTGATGCTCGAAGCATCTATTGCTTAGTTTGAGAGCAAATTCATTGAGTTTTACATGGAGGTTGATACAATTGAGGATTTTTCAATCTTGATTTAGTCGTTGGATCTTAATAGTTAGTACATTATGTATCATCATCAACATCTCAACATATCTAGACGATAACTAAGGATGGAAACAATGCTACTTGGATGATGGAGCGAGACAACGACAACGATGAAGTAGACAAAAATGAGTACACTTTTCTAGCTAATGATTGTTGTTTGTCAAATAATGATCATAATGATCAAGTTCATGCTGATCTAATTCCACAAGAGAGGGTGCCCTTATCAAATGCTCTTAAAGCTGCTCAATCATCAGGTGGCAGTGCATATCCACATGAAATGGAAGGTTATTACCTAATGAGTTGAAATGTTTATGTTTAATGTTATGTTATTACATTTCTAGATCTCAAATGGATGTGTATGTGTAGGTAACCCTATTACACCATTTCAGAGTGACATTCCACATTACTTGGCAATTAAATGGCATTACCACTTTGGGTTTCATGGACAACAGGTGATGAGTTGTTTGTTACATAAGAATTTGAGTCAAAGCAAGTTGTACAGACCGCGATAAAACATTATTGC